AACTACTACTACTACTACTATATATATATATATATATATATATATATATATATATATATTGCTTAGAGGCCCCACCCATCACTACACATCTATAGATTGATAAACAAGTCTAGTAGGTATGTATAGCCTTCATTTGCAGTATATAGGGTTACAATACCTTGCAAGTCCCAGAACATGTTCGACAGAATGGGGCTATTCCTGCTCTCCCACTCTTCCATCATGATGTCACGAACCTTGTCGAACTCCAGTACGGCCGCACCAGGAGCCACGTATATATCGTGCAACTGAAACCATCAACGCGACGGCTTATTAGCACTGTTTAGCTATCAAATATTTTTACATTATTTTTCTAGATTTCCTTTTGTTCTAATATGGCTGGCCTTCCCTAAGATTTTATCTTACTTTGGTATGCAACTTAGTTACACTACCTGACTGCCAGGAACTAAAGTTGGAGCCACAAAGACTGGTAGGAGTTTTTCGGTGAGTAAGTCGGTGCTGGGTGGCTGTATGGCTTCACCCTCCTCCACCGTTGTCACGGCAACGTAGCTGATGACAGTTCTCTGCACTTGGTTGAGTATGCCCTGAGTATACGTTGTGTTCTCAATCGTAAACTCATTATCTGAATCAAACGATACACAACAAAATTACACAACAACAACAACAACAACAACAACAATAACAACAACAACAACAACAACAACAACAACAACAACAACAACAACAACAACAACAACAACAACAACAATAACAATAATAATAACTGTTAACTATAAAACAACCACGAAATTATAGAAACACGTGCAATATCGACCCCGATAAGTCACCAAGACGATTAACAACACGATTTACAACAACGACGAGACATCCGTCACCGTACCCGGGTTCGACACCTCCCACGCCATCTTCAGCAGCTGCCTCAGTAGAGTATCGTCCACGTTCTGCTCGCTGTAGCGATGATCCACCTGCAGCGTGCTCTCGTAGCGCACCGTCCGCGTCCGCGTTGGCGGCGCTACTCCGTTCAGGATGTCGCGCACGCGCCGCCGATCGTCCGCGCTCAGCGTTGCCGGGGTGACGACCTCGTCGCCGACAAGCAGGAAGTAGGTCGCGGTCGTCGTCTGTCCGCGCGTCGCTGCCGCGTCGATCACGTAGATGACGACAGCACCATCTCGTCCGCGCAGCACGGCGGCCCACGCGTCGGCGAGCCGGCCCGCGGCGTCGGTGAGCGAGACGCGCGCTGGAATGACGTCGCGAAGATGGTATGCATCGCCGTAGACGCCGCGCGCCGGGTAGTGGATGTAGCCGAGCGCGCGGACGGCCGGTGCGAGCTGCTCAAACGACGGCTCGACGAGCACAGTCATGACGTTGTAGCCGGAGGGCAGCGTGACGCGATAGGGCAGCGCAACGACTGGCTGCCCCGCGGCCGTGATGTAACCGGTCGTGCCGTTCAGCAGACGCAGGTCCCAGGGCAACGTGCGCAGGAATCGCTCGTTCTCGCGTTGCCACGCCGACGACAGCAGGTTCTCAAAGTCCTGTGGACGCACCTCGACCTGGGAGGAATCGGCCGACACGTACAGAGTGTACACCTGCAGGGAGAGAAATACGCGTCGTGTTATGATCGCAAATACGATCAACTAACGAGTCAAACTCAACTAGGAAAAAAAAGTCTTAAAGAATTTAACTCGCGTTAATTTACGCGAGCACGTTGCACGAGCAAGGCAATCTCATGTATACATTATGCGTTTACTCGTTACATATGAGAAGTAATTAACACGAGTATATACAGTGTGTACATCTGCGGGGAGGAAATAGGGAGGAAATATGTGTCGTGTTATAGACATGCGTGAAGAGGATGCCTGGACAGCCTCTACAGGGCACAGCTCTAGTGTTACTACACGCAGATTTGATTTGCTGGTTGGATGATGCCATTTTACATAAAAGTTATGTTATGTTGAGAAAATGCTACACAAAGTTAGCAATGAACACAATGAATATTTTTCACGTGTCATAATCGCAAAATGCAATCAACTAATGAATCAAACTCAGCGAAAGAATTAAACTCGCGTTAATTTACGCGAGCACGTTGCACGAGCAAGGCAATCTCTTTTATACATTACGCGTTTACTCATTACACATGAGAAGTAATTAACAGGGGTATCGTAAATAACCACATTAAACAAATGTAGCTAATTAATGCGGTCACGATCGCGGGCCGGCACGGCGCACTCTCTCTCTCTCTCTCTCCCCCTCACCTTGCTACACATATTCTCGTCGCACACGACCGTGGACGGCGGCGTTGGTGTCGGTGTCGGCGGCGGGGTCAGGGTCGGGGTCGGCGTCAAGGTCGGGGTCGGCGTCAAGGTCACGTAAACGATCTTCGTGATCTCCTCGGGTTTCGGCGGTGTCACGTCGGGACCGGCGTTGACGATGACGTAGCGGACGATGGTCACCGGCTCTCCCCGCTCGCCCACCACCGTCTTGTAACTGATGATGCGCACGATCACGAGCCGGCCTGCACGAGACAGAGGTCGAAATTAGTGGCTGTTGCTATTCATATAAATCGATGCCATCGAACGGTAAGCAGGTAAGCACGTACTATGATATAAGGGTATAATTAATAATTGTATAATAATAATCGTCATTAATTATATAAGAGTTAGGAC